ACACCACTGCAATCGGGAAATATAAAATATTTAGGTATTAATGTTTCTCCCAAGCTTGCAGATCTAACTAAATTAAACCATATCCCACTTTTAAAGAAGGTAGAAGATGATCTGGCTAGATGGAAATGTCTACCCATATCACTCATGGGAAGGGTTGCCGCTATAAAAATGATGGTCTTACCAAAAATAAATTATTTATTCTCAATGATCCCAACTAAACCGCCACAAGATTGGTTCAGATCTCTAGATTCATGTATGTCCAAATTCCTTTGGAAAAATAAACCCCCACGTATAAGCTTAAAAACACTACAAAAGACCAAGGATAAAGGAGGACTAGAACTGCCTAACTTTCAGCACTACTTCTTAGCCAACAGGCTTCAGTTTATCTCAGGATGGCTAAAACATACCTTCTTAGATGAACCTTGGCTAGATGTAGAACAAGCACTCTGCAATAATCTAGAGATCTCAGACCTACCATTTATCAGCTCAAACATCCAACGACATGAATGCTTTAAAAGCATCAACATCAGCTCCTCCCTGACAGCATGGTGGGAGTTTCTAAAATTGACGGCGTCTTCATTAATCCCATGCAAACGTACACCTATCTGGAACAACCCTGACATATTACAAAACAATAATATGATAAACTTTTCAGATTGGAGTGATAAAGGAATCAAATATTTAGAACATATACTAGAAGGAACAGAATTTATTTCATTTGACAGACTAGTTACACAATATGGGATCAACAAGAAAAGATTTTTAGAATATCAACAAATTAAATCCATAGTAAAAAAGTGCAGCGGGGCTAGGGGAGGGTCTGTGCTGACGGACGTGGGTTACTGACCTGGTAGCCTGGCTGCCCCTGGGTGGGTCCGGGATGGGCGTGAGGTTCTGGGGGCGCTCCGTCTCTGGGCTGGGACCCGGACCGGGCCTCGGGGGCTTGGGTCCTGGTTGGTGTGTTGCCGGGGTTGTGGGTGCAGCCGGTGCATCGAGCCACCTGGGGGGCTCTTCAACTGGTGGGGAAGATTGTCACATCTTGCAGGAGCTTTCCTCTCCTCAGGAACTCTCTACAGGAGGGTGAGATACAGGAGAGGTGGAGGAAGATCTCAGCCTGGGTGTTTATTGTCTTATGTAGTCTGGAAGATGAGTGGATGGTGGGGTGGGTGCAGTTTTCTCTGTGGTGGGGTTGGGTGGACTGTCCCGGGCTCTGTGGGGCCGGGAGGCGCTGCTGCACTGGGCCCGGTCTGGATGGGCCTGGGCCCCCTTTCCCTGGCGGGTCGCGGAGTATGGGGGTGCCTACTGGGGTCAGCGGGGGAGCTGGCCCCAGGGAGGGGTCACTTGCCCCTCCCTTCCTTCCCTCCCCATCTCCAGCTGCCTCCCTCTTCCCGCTCCACCACAACCACCCACACATGCAGGGCCTTGGAGTAGGGGTATGTCACCAGGGTGCAGAGGAGGCTACCCCCCCCCCCCCCCCCCCCCCCTGTCCCCTTCTGGCTGCCTCTGCCTCAATTTTATCCCACAACTTAGACATTCACATTACTCACACTCTCATTACACATACATATAGGATCTTGGGGGTGGGCACGATACACGGAATCCAAAGTACCATCAGGGTGTACACCCCACCCCTGGCGTCGTTGCCCACCTCTCAATTTTAAATACACGTAGACATTGAGGGCTAGCAGGAGGGACTATGCGCTTACCTGCTGCTCTCTGGCAGGTAGCTCCAAGCCCTCGTGGGTTTTAAATGCACCTTAGAACACACATGCATCAACACTACAATGAGCGGGTGGAGGGAGGTTTGGAGTCTTCTCTCACCCCCATTCTCTGCGACCTGCTGGAGCGGGGGGGCTAGGAGGAGGAGTTGGCCGTCCGACTGCGGTCTGGAGTGTGGGGCCTCCCTGCTGCTGCGGAGTCGGGGCGGTCTGCCTTCCCCCACCGCAGGGAAAAGGGTAACACCACCTGGGTCTGGGTGCAGTTCCCCCCTCCAGGGGCGGGGGTACCTAGACCCGGTTTGTAGAGTACGCTTGGGGAGTGTGATCGTGTGTACAACGTCTCTTTATGTCTGTCTCCACGTTGGTTGAGTGTGGAGTAAGTGCATATGAGAGCATGAGGGTGGGAATGGATGTTTGTATCTGTGTGTGCCTGTATGTCTGTGTCTATATGTCAGGTTGGGTGTCAGACGTCACCTCTCTGGGGACATCTCAGGCCCTCCAAGGTATGGAGGCCTATCTCCACCCACCACCACTCCCCTGCCGGTGGCGGACTCCCTCAGACATCGGTGCGTTGGTGGTTCTTTGTGTCCGGGGATGGGCGTCCAGGTACACACCGGCTCACTCCTTGGCGGCCGCTTATCGGGGCCTGGAGCCTGGGGCTCGCTCGGGCCACTTCGGAGGTGGGGTGCCCCCGGCCTCTCGGCCTGGGGCTCGGTCACTCAGGCGCAGCTGGCTGCCGGCGGAGCTCACGGGCGCGTCACTGCAACTCCCCCTGGCTTCTGCTCCGCGGCTGCTGAGTGAGCCCTCATCTGGGACTCTCCTCAGCTCTTACTGGAACAGTGGCACAGCTGCCCCTCTGTTGGTCTTCCTTGGTCTCTTGTGTTCTGGGGGCCTCTGGATGTCTGGAGTTTTGATCTCCTCCACACCTGCTTCATGCCCTGGAGGACGGGGCTGTGCCCCCCCACACCCTCTAGCAGATCATTACATGAAGGAACCTTTTAAAAAACAAAAAACAAGCGCGTCCATGCTCACAGGTGTACACACGGGTGATCACACCCACAAACTACACCCTTTTTGGCTCCTACCTCAAAGCACACTGTGTTCTGTTGATCTTATGTGCTGCACAATAATGTTTAATATTTAGTATTTACTGTCATATTCCCATATATCATTGTGATGTTGTTTATTCTATTACTCTTGTTCTCTTCTGCTTGCTTTCTTTTTTCTTTCTCAGCAGGTGATCCAGGTGATTGATATATGCATTTTTTTTTTCTGCCCGTTCTGTTGGTTTTTATTTTTTGCCCTTCTCCCCCGTCCCTCTTCTCAGCTGTTTCTCTTTCCCTCTTTCTTTCTCCCCTTCTTTCCCCCAGTCAAGTCTGTCCCGTATTCAGTAAGTGAAAATAAAATAAACAATAAAAGGTGAATCAAATGGACCATTACGGCGAGGCTGGGATGGTCAGTTTGGTAAAGTAAATCCGTTGGGCATCTTTCTTTGCCTTTAGACAACAATTCTGATGGCAAAAGAGCCAAACGGGACAGGCCAAGAAAAAAAAAAGGAATAGTAATTAGTTAGATTACTCGGTACTAACGCAACACAGTTGTTCCGATCACTGCTGACCAGCCATCCCTGGCACTGCATCTGCCAATTTTCTATGACGAGTCTAAAACTAAACATTTCTACACCAAAACAGCTGCAAGAATAAAAAGGTCACTGTCTGAGACAAAGTGGATAAAAGGAGCTGCAGTGTCAAAAGTCAAATGAAAAACTGGTCGTTTGTCTCCACTGCTCAGCTTAATCATTGAACCAGAACATTTGAATGCTTTTGGAGTTAAAAGGTAACAGATAAAGGTGCTTTAAATATGGCCTCATTCACCTGTTTCTCTTATCTCCTGAATTCAAATAATACTATTTCATATAAGACAAAAAATACTTTATTGTCCTTGTGTAATATATTCAAATTGCAGAACAGAAGCTAACTGTCATGGTCCAGGGCAGCTCCAGTGTCCTCCACCTTGGGCGGAGCCCTCATCTCATCACCTGTGCTACCCACCTGTACCTGATCCTCGAGTAATCTACAGACGGTATTTGAGATCAGCGTCCTCATCTCTCCTTCGCCTGACCACATGTTAGTAACTGACTACCTAGCCTTGTGTTTGTTGTTTAAAGACCTGCACTTACCTGTTGTTCTCTGTGAATCTAGTCTCCTCATCAATCTGCAGATCAGGATTCAGGACGCTGGTCTCTACGCGGCCATCACTTGGCTGTGACCCACGTCTCACCAGACACACGCTTCTCACCTTCTCCACCTGCCTGCCCTCCTGCCACCATCTCTCACGAGTCACTGAAAAGATAATGTTGGAAACGCTTCTCTCATTTCTCACTCTGGAGCTCATCTGACCGAAGCAGTCTCACCTCCCCCACCAAGTAAGATTTCCTCATCTCAATCCTCACATCATCCACCAAGTTACCTCTGCAAACCCACCTACCCTTTCCCTATTCCTCCGCCTGCAGTCACGACCCGCTCGTCAGGAAAAAAAAACACCTTTGTGTAGCCATCCAGTTGTGTGTAGCTGTCAAGAAAACCTTCCCTTGTGTAGTAACCAAATTCACTGGGCCTGTTATAAAATAAAACACTTAAAAAATATTATTGCCTTCCGTGTTGCATCTGCTCGTGTGTCCATATTCTCACACCAGCCTCCGGGCCGCGAGCCACTAACATTTCATGTAATAAATCTAAGAGTTCGGTCTCACATGGCAGCATTGTGCATTTACAGTAAAAATGGATATGGTCTCTATGGATGCTACTAAGTTTCTTAGATAAACACAGTTTCGTTTACATTTTGTATCTTACTGTCTAATTTTGCTTCGCCCTTTTCCTCTTTATTCTCCTCCATAAAACATCTCTTTAATACATGTTGTTTCCTGTATTTCTTTAACTGAGAAAAAGACTGTATAAAGTGATGCACTCAGGTGTCTCTCTTAATAACTGGCTGGTCTGCAGGAGTCTGTCACTGTGTCACACAAGTACATAAATGAAACCATCAAATGAATAAATCTAGAAGTTCCATGCAGACAGTCATCGTCATCATTATTACTGAAAACTGTAACTTGAAAGTGTTTTATTTCTCTGACAGATGAACAAAGGACCTCTGTATGTTCACTGTGACTCACTTGTTCTTAACCTTTGCATAATTCAACATTTGAATGTTCAGATAGGCTTGTGGGGCTGCTTACTGGGGGTTGGTCTAATTTTCCCTTTAAAAATCTTCCTCCTGACTGTTCATTGCACTGGCACCTACAACCAGAACACACTGGGAGAACAACGGAGGACGGCAACAGTGTCCATCTGACATCATTCACTACAGGTAAGAGTCACTTTAAAAATGATAATGGAAGTCTATTAAACGCCATGGTTAGTTTTGTTCTGGTTCTAAGGCCACTGGCTTCTAGCAGATCAAATCAAATCACTTTTATTGTCACATCACATGTGCAGGTACATTGGTACAGCACATGTGAGTGAAATTCTTGTGTGCGAGCTTCACAAGCAACAGAGTTGTGCAAAATACAATAATGTAAACAAGCAGAATACAAGAATGGCTACATCTGAAACTAATAAATATATGTACAATATATAATAGTGTATGCATTTCTGGATGTGCATACTAAATATTTTCCTACGTGTGTGTGTGTACACATATTTTACAAATTAAATAGAGTAAACAATAATAAATATATAAAAAATCACTGCAACATTGTCTACAGTATCTCTATTACACATTGTGATTGTGTGTGTGTATTTTATTAGAATAAATGCATTAAAGTCACACTTAAAGTAGTTTGTAGTTTTCTCAATCAGTAGATGTTTGCTAGTTGTTTTTAATCTCCACAGTTTGAGTTAGAGGAGAAGTACAGACGAGGTCAGAAGGAGTTTCACTTTGTGGAGGCAGAGAATCAGAATCAGAAAGACTTTATCTATCCCCAATTAAGATACAGCAGAGCAGCATGACGTTGAAGATAAGGACAGGGCATAAACAGGCAGTAAGGATGAGACAATAAATACACAGAATATACACAGCTTTAAAATTAAAAGAACAAGAGAAAGAGAAAGCAGATAATGGGGTGCTGAGAAGTCAAAAGTGGCAAAAGAAAGTATGTGAGGCTGGTATAGGACATGTCTGAGGACAGAGGTAAGCTGTGTGGTAGGAGTGACAGATGAGTTCAAGGTGGGGGTGGGATTACATCAGGGATTAGTCTGAGCCCCTTCTTGTTTTGGAGCAGATGAGGTCACTACTCTATAGTGAGAGTAGGGAGCAGGTGAAGGTACGGTGTGGAGAGAAGAGGAATGAAAGTCAGTAGAAGCAAGACAGAATAGATGTGTGTGTGAATGAATGGGAGACAGGAGCGACAGTTTGTCACAGAGAGACAGACAACCATCCACACTCACATTCACACTTATGGGCAATTTAGAATCACCAATCCACAGTTGCAATTATATAATTATAATTGTATTATATAATTAGTTGCATTACAAAGGTTTTTCAGTTATCTGGACAAAAAAAATAAAAATCTGCTCACAATCAGCTGATTTCAATTCATGTGCAGGAGGAGACTCTTGGAGAGGTGCAGTGATACAGCTTTGGAGGAGAGGCGATATGAACATTACTTTTATTTTTATTGCAGAAAGAAAACAAGAGTTTGGTGGTAAAGTGTAAACTTCAGCTCCTTGAAAGCACCTGCACTGACAACATGCTAATCCAAAGCTCGCCATGAACTCATCTTTAACTGATTTTAAAGATGAAGAATCCAGATTTTCAAGAGGCAACAAAAGCAGAGATGAACAGTCATCCTGCGGCCTCCATTTCTACTGTGGAAAGTCTCTTTATGCTGGTTTTCATTGTATTCATACATAAACACTAAAAGAAAGATTGTACATGTTTCCTCATTAGGACAAAGATGTGTGCTTTTGTGTAGGACTGTATCCTTCTGATGTGCGGGACTATAACCGGTAATTATAAGACAAAATTTATGTAACAAATTACTTTCTCTGGCAAGTAATTATTTCTAAGAAAACTAACGAGTAATCTGTAATATACTGCTTTCTTGAGTATAAACCCAACACTGGTAAGGACCAAATTACTTTTATCATGTCCCATAAAAGTTTGAAAGGACTTGAAAGAGGCTCTACGCTCTTTGTACCATGACTACTTTTCAAAACATAGTAACTTTCAAAAGGCCTTTATGAAAAGCATGAATGATCCCAGCAACATAAACCTGTTTCAGTCCTCACACTGACTCACACGAGTCAGTGTGAGGACTGAAAGTCAATGCTGAGAGAAATATGAGAGAAATAACCTTTTTATTTCTGTTGGTTTCAGGTCTCTTCTTCCTTTTGGGCAGCAGCTGTGAAGGTTTGTACTTGACTCTCGTCACACTGTTGTTTCATGAGTTTTTGGTGCACCTTCAGTTGGACTTTGAAGACTTGCTCCTCTCTAACATTGACCTTATTCAGTTATAAATTGGTGCTAAATGCTGAAAAAAATCCCTGAAAGAGCAGAGCTGATAATCTGGGCGAATTAGAGACAGTTTTGTTGAACAGGTTACATTTGAAGCTGTAATATATTCAGTCTTCTTATTGGTATTTGTGTCTCTGTTAAACCCACTCAGATGGCTGCTTCTTACTGGGTTATTGTAGCGGTCGTTCTTTTGATGACTGCTACAAACGGTGCGACTGCTATTGAGACACACGAGCTCGCACCAATTGTTCAAAACATTCTGAACAGGTGAGTGAACTTTCTGTGAAATACTAAAGAAAAACTGATGATGATGATGTTTACAGCAGCTGTTTTTAACAAAGAAACTGTGAGCATCAGAGTAACATGTGACAAATATGCTATTAAAACTGTATCACACTGGACTCTAACACAGATCAGCCCCTCTGTCCTTTCACAAACTCTCAGGGAAACAAACCAACACTGTTGTGGTTTCATGTAAATCTTTCCAAATGGAATCAACATCAGAACCTGTGTGTGTGTCTTTTGGCAGGTACACACCTAGCTACGGTCCAAACGACGACAGGTCAGTAACAAAGGTTTACTTTAATCTGAAACACAGTACTTACAGTGTGCTTTATAGTAACGTGGCAGAAACTGAGATCATCAGAGCTGCACGTAGAAGCAGAGACTGAAAGAACAAATGCAGCATTACATACTCACTGTTATTTGTAACTGGATGTTTAAGTTGTTCTCAATTTCAGGGCTTAAAAAAATCCAAAAAAAGAAATAGACTGGTTTCCTCAGCAAAATGAGACTAAACTCACTTTGGCTTTTTTAACACTCTGGATACTTTAATCTGCACGTTATAAAGAAAATGTTTTACAGGTGAATATTCTCTGTTTACTTCGACAGACAGTTTCCCATGTTCAGTGTGGCCGTGAGCGTCCCGTACAATAATGGCAAGTTTGATATGAGCAAAGTCACTGATGATGATGGTGGTGAAGCTGTGAAGACGAAGATTCTAAACTGTGACGTATACATAGGTGACAGAGTGGTGGCAGCCACAGTGCTGAGATGGCGCAATGTTTTATATCAGTGTCCTAATGCTCCTGTACAGTGGCCTGATGTTTTGAAAGGATGCCGTGGAAAGATAAAGACATGGGCTGATATTGACAAATTTTGTGATGAAGAATATATTGAAAATAATCTGTATCCTCAGGCTGCTCATGCTGAGTCCCGAACCCTGAACCATTTCAAAGAAAACGACAAAATTAGGAAAAACTCCAAAGATGATCTGATGGTTTTCTACGTCCGTGACTCCCCATGTGATGACTCATGTACCAACCCAGGGAATACTCGGAATATTCTCAGTAAAATACCAGCGATAAGGAACTGGAAGAATTATGTTGTTGTGTTTTCAGATGTATTTAGACCTCATGATAATAATAATAATCGTGTGAATGCACTGCGTGGATCACTTGAGAGGCTTGGGGACGCAATCGCAGAAGAAGGGACAAAGGAGGAAGAAAAAAAGTCAAATGGTCTAAAGCATATATTCCGATGCTACAGGCAGCAAAATATGGATAAAATGAAGTGTCTTATCTGCAATACCAATGGTGCTGTTGCAGAAAAATGCATTAAAACTGCTTGGCAACAAAGGGGAGAAAGAGAATCAGACCAAGAGGAAGAGTAACATGCAGAGAGGAGGAGTGATGAGAGAAAATCATCAGAATTAACCAGAGAGGGAAAAAGAAAAACAGAAAATGTAACCCATGCTTTGCATCGTTTTCCTGCATCCGTGTTTAACTTTTAAATGTGTGTGTTGGTCACAGCAAGATTAACATGTGCTCCTGAAATCACAGCTGCATCGTGCACTCTGGTCATTCTGGTCCACGATACTGTCGGCGCCTCTGATTGTGTGAACTGAAACACAAACAGTGTGTGTAGAGTGTAATCCATTTATAGCCTCTGATACTGTCTCTGATTAAAGCTTAATAAGCTGCATCAAAACATGTCACAGCTTTGTGGTGGATTTTTGTGTGATATGTATAACTATGTAACTATATACACTATATATCTATGTGAACTGAACATATATATTTTAACTTTCATGTAGAGTCTTAAGCGCAAGACATTTTGCTTCACCGAGGTTTATTAGGGTGGCACAGTAACAGGGCAGTTGATGCTGTTGAGAGTTCGCCTGAATAACTCACTCTCCAGCTCCGGTAACCAACCTTCCCTAATACTCACTCAACGTCTTTCATGCAGCACAACCAAAACAGTAACATTGTAACAGAGATCCTGAACACATCACAATAAAATATCATACGATATAATCACACACACACACACACACACTTTGAACCACACTGAAGTGTTTTTATATATGAGAAAGCATGTAACCTATGTAGTTATAAGATTATATGTTATAAGATTGTGCCACTTGCTGTATAAGATTCAATAATTAGGATTAATGTGTGATGTTTGACCGTGTCATGACCTCTTGTGATAAGCCAGAGCAGGGGGTAGTCAGAGTCCTGACTGGCCTCTGGCCAAGACCTTGGCCGCTACCTGACCCCTGCAGCTGTGTTTGGATGGGTGGGAAAGTTACCCAGCAGCAGGGGGCGGGGATACTGGTCCTTATATATTAGGGGACCAGAGGACACCCCCAGCTCTTTTTTCCCCTCTGCTGTTGCTCTCTGTCCATCTCTGTGTTGCTCTGCTGTCTGTGCTTAAGGCTGTACACCCCGGGGTTTTGCTTTGCTTGCTGTCTGCTTTGTAATTCTCTTGCTAAATGTCTGTATGTATTTTTCCTGCTGTTCATATGACTCAGTGTAAAGATGCTGCAGGTTTCCTATTCACGGGTCACTCCACAGAAACTCTGTCATACAAACTGTCGGCTCCCAGATTTTAAAGCCAACATGATAACCTCCTCCAGCCAGCGGTGTGGAGATCCAGCCAATTACAATCAAATCACTCAAAAAGATCCTCTGGAAACAGCAGAGTTATTGAAACAGAATAAACAGAATCACATGAACACTGAAACATTACAACACACAGCAAAGCAAGCTGAGCAAAGCCCGGGTGTAGAGCCTTAAACACAGAGAGAAAAGAGCCATGATGTCACCTCCGTCCCTCCATAACCCCTCCTGCAGCTGATGGGTAACTTTCCCCTTGTCATCCAGCTAAAAACAACAGGTGCAGGTCAGGGGTCCGGCCAGGCGCCATCTTCAGGTGGGCCAGCTTTGCTGTGTCACAGTCGGCCATAACGTGATTAAAGTTACACATCGGTCCTAATTATTAAACCTCGCTACAAGCAGTGCACACCAACAGATGGCATAAACCGATGATATATGTGTGAATAATACTTAACATGGTGATTCCAATCAAGGGTGTAGATTTGGTTTTGGCATTGGTGGGGACGGATGATTCAACCACTGAACCCTGCCTCGTTTCTTTATTTCCCCTTTTCGTCTTTGCTTCTTGATAAAAAAAAAAAAAGGAGAAATATACTTGCCTACATATGCTATTCTACATGCTTTTAAACCATTTAAAATCACAATTCATAGTTTTATATGTGAATTATATAATGTTAAATTACTATTAAACAAATGACTGACTAAATAATTTTAGGCTTTAGTTTACTTCAGCCGTATTCCATATAACTCAGGTATCATACAAAAATAAAAACAGCTTCAAATACAGTCATGACAATAAAAGAATATGACTTTAAGGACTTAACAACATTACTTCAGTTATACTACACCATCTGTTATACATTAGCACTAAGGGAAGACTCAATGACCTGGTTGTTTTTGTCCATAAAACTACTCGTCTAAGATGACCACAAAGTAACAGATCTCTCAGCAACATTATGCAACATTTTAGGCACTACTGCCCCGATCAAGTCAGCTGGGATGTTCTCTTCTGCTTGTTTTCTTTTTTTCTTTCTCAACAGGTGATCCAGGTGATCGATATATGCATCTTTTTCTTCTTCTTTCTCTCTGCTTATTCTGTTGGTTTTTGTTTTGTTTGTTTTTTTTGTTTTTTTGCACTTCCCCCCGTCCCTCTTCTCAGCTTTCTTTCTCCCCTTCTTTCCTCCAGTCAAGTCTGTCCCGTATTCAGCAAGTGAAAATAAAATAAACAATAAAAGGTGAATCAAATGGACCATTACGGCAAGGCTGGGATGGTCCATTTGTTAAAGTAAATCCGTTGGGCATCTTTCTTTGCCTTTAGACAACAATTCTGATGCAAAAGAGCCAAACGGGACAGGCAAAAAAAAGAAAAGAAAAAAGAAAAAGCTGGGATGTTTCATTCTAAACATGAACTACTGTTACAGCAACAGACACGGACTACTGGTGTCCCACACAACAACTCAATGTCCTCTATGTGAAGGAGCCAAACACATGCCTGCTCCTCTCGTTAATCACCAAATCATCAGTCAGTCACCTGTGACCTTGCATCTTCACCTCTGTCTGAGCTACAACATGGCAGAGCTGCCTCTGTCACCTGATAAATAACAGTGAGACATTCAAATACATGCAGTCACACATGTGCTTCAAATACAGTCATGAACCATCAAGTCATCCTCCAGTTTCACCTGCTTTGTGTTGGTTCTTCTGTCACCTGACAAACAGGACAAACATGACAATAAGAATAAAACGTGGATCTGCTTCAGTGTTTCTGTCACTTTGTGCAGATCTTGACTCGTCAGTGATGTTTGTAGGCTGAGTGCATTTTTAAAACAATTTGTGCAAACTGCACTCCAAGGTGGAATACTTGCAAAATCGTGACTACCTCATGATATATTGTCTCAAAAATTAACCCTATGAATACGTCAGTGCCATTAGGATGAAATTATTGTGTCACCAACATTTTAACGTTAGACATATAATTCTAACAGCCTCTGTCAACTAATATCCGGGCTGCTCGAGGCTGCCGTTTTCTCCGACAGCTTCAATCAAAATTAGAAATGCTGCTCTGAGACTGAGAAAACTAACAGTGCTGCCTGTTGTGCAGGTAGTTTCCAAAACACGTTATTCTTGGTTACATACAGTTTTAGACTGATGTGGGCCAAAGCCTAGCATAGCCTGTAACGTTATTAAGACGGACACATTTTATGAGTGAAGTTGACTTTAAGTGAGTTACAGGTTTCTTTGAAAAATACTTTCTTATATCCAGCTTCTTCCTCTTTGCTGCCGTCCTCCTCTCCTTGCAGCGCAGGTTTGTTGCTGCTAAAACTAAACAGAGCTCCCTGAAAGGCTCAGCCAATCACATTGGTCATATTTGTCACATGAGAACGTAATTTCTTTTTTTTTTCTTTTTTTTCTTTTTTTTTGCTTTTTTTTCTAAATGACATCAGAAACAGCAGTATGCGACATTACGTGATGGCAGAGCTTCAGTTCATCCTTTGTCATTTTTTTTTTTTTTTTTTTTTTTTTAATAAATAGGACAGGGGGAATGAATGAGAGAGAGAGGGGGAGAGAAAGAAAGAAAACCCAAAGGGGAGAAGAGACGGTGAGAAGGGGGGGGAAGAGAGAGAAAAAAAAAAAAAACTCCTGGGTCACCTGTATGGAGAAAAAA